AGCTTGAGGTCAGCCTGGGCAACTTAGTGAGGCTCTGTCTCAAAACAGAAAATAAAAAGGGCTGGGGATGTGGCTCAGTGGTAAAGCTTCCCTGGGTTCAAGTCCCAGTAGGCCCCCCGCCCCCCCCCAAAAAAAATAAAAGTGATCCAGGTGCTGGGCCTGAGGCTGGTTCTTCCTCCTGCACCTGAGCTCCCCTCACAGTGCAGATGGGTGTCTCTCCCCATTGCCATGATGGTGAGCTGCTGCTTCTGCCCTTATTCTTGTCTCTCTCAGAAGCCAAGCATCCTAGGGAAAAGAGAAGGAGAGAACAGGGATGGGTGTCGCAGCAGGAGGTTCAAGGGTTGATATCCAGAGGACTTTATGCAGCCCCCGGAACGTGGAGATGGTGTGAGAAAGAGCTTATTGGTTTTTTTTTTTTGGACTGGGGACTGAACCCAGGGGTGCTCTGCCACTGAGCCCCGTCCCCAGCCCTTTTTACTTCTTATTTGAGACAGGGTCTCCTGAGTTGCCCAGGYTGGCCTCCGGCTGGGAGGGCTTTTGAAGGAGGCGCATCTCTGACCACCCTCAGGGCCCAGCCTCTGCTGGGGAGAGTGGAGGCTCCCCCAGGTGGCCCTCACCCACAGGGACTTGCGCTTCCCGTAGGGTCAGGATAATCTTCCAGGCTGAAAACAAGACCTGGGCCTTTCTCTCCTCGGTCTCTCTCTCTCCTCCGCAGCAGGGACACGATCCCCCKCCCGCTCTGGGGGAAAGAGGACAATTTATAGAATCGTTCTGCGGCTCTTAGCCCTCATGGAGACAAAGAATTCGTCTCTGTCTCTCGGGGTGGCTTCTGTGCTGATGGTCATAAATTGCCTTCCCGCTCACTCCCTGACCTCTGGCTCTTTTTGCTTTTGTGCTCAAAAATTTATTAATATTTCTCTTAACTCCATATATAACCTTTGACTGTTTTCTCTCTCTTTTTTTTTTTCCCTAGGTGAAGGAGTATCCTTGGGGATGAGAACCTCCACACCCGAGTGCTTCCTTCTAGGCTGGGCTCTGTGCCTGGGACCCAGAGAAATCCACAGGAGGAATATTCAAAAGGTCCCTGCTTTGGGGAATTCACAAACCAAAAAGAAATCAAATCAAATCAAATCACCACTAGCATTTATTGAGTGATCGCTGTGTCCCTACCCCTATTCAACAAACTGCATGTAAATGGACTTGCTCAGTCTTCATCATTACCCCGTGTATTAATCAGCTTTGCGCTACCATAACTAAAAACCTGAGATGGGATACTTACAAAGAAAAGAGGTTTACTTAGCTCACAGTTTTGAAGGTTCAAAATTCAAGTTTGGGTGTCTGGCGAGGGCTGCTGATGGTGCCACATCGTGGTAGGAGAGTATGGGGAGGTGAGGGACCACATCTCAGAGAAGCCAGAGAGTTGGGGGGCCAGGCTTGCTCCTTTCATAACAACCCTCTGGTAAGAACTACCAATGGGRCCCATAAGCACTACGGCACGCTCTCCAATTACCCAAGAATCTCTATCTTAGGTGTGTTACTGGGGACTGAACCCGGGAATCTCTGCCACATTCCCTGCACTTTGAATTTATTATTTTGAGACAAGGTCTCACTAAGTTTCCCAGGCTGCCCTTGAAATTGTGATCCTCCTGCCTCAGCCTCCCGAGTTGCTGGGATTACCGGCCTGTGCTCTCGCCCAACAAGATCTTTCTTAAATGTTTCCCCACCTCCCAAGACTGCCGCCCTGGGACCCAGCCTCTGACCACTTGGACCCTTGGGGAACACCCAATCACAGTTCTCCATAAAGTAAGGACTATTATTATCCACATCTTCGGATGAAGGGACCAATAATCAGAGAGGTTAAGTGTATAAACTGAAGTCGCTCAGCAGTGGGGCGAAACCGGGATTCAAATCCTTGTCTGGTTTCAGCATCCTGTTTCTTGCTCCCAATCATCCTGCTAGCTCACTGATGAGGAGGAGGTAACCAGCTTCTTCTACCCTGGGGGAGCTCCAGACAAGGGGACAGGGACAATCACTGCCTCCCAGGAGTCTCAGATTTAACAGAGGAGCAGCCCCTGTCCTGTGGAGCTATGTCTAATCTGATGGAAAGACTCAGGCTTTGTCTTCAGAGTACCTGCCTGACACTGGGGACTCTGGCCTGGTGCTCCCGTTGGTGAGAGTTTAGTGATTAGACTCCAGGAGACTCAGTTACTCCAATAAGATAACTGTGAGCACTGAAGAGTGGGGAGGAGCAGAGCTGGGGGGTTCACTGGGTTGCTCTAGAAGGAAGGGGAATCATACAGGATGGCAATCGGCCGAAGAAATGCTAGTGGAGAGCAGAGGAGGGCGGGGGACCATGACCGTGGACAGRCTTGCCAAGGGCAGGAGTCTGCTCCCATCCGTGGCTCCCAATTCCGGTTGCCCATTTGAACGACTTGTGGCTATGTTTATTTTATTTTATTTTGGTCCTGGGAACTGAGCCCAGGGGTGCTTTACCCGAGTGACCTCTCTGGCCTTTTCTGAAACAAGGTCTGAAATGCTGAGGCTGGCTTCCAACTTGCAATCCTCCTATCTCAGCCTCCCAAGTTGCGGGCATTACTCCGGGTACGTTTAAAAATACTGGTGCTTAGCCAGGCCCCGGCCTGTGATCCCAATACAGCTCGGGAGGCTGAAGTAGGAGGATCACGAATTCAAAGGCAGCCTCAGCAACTATGAGGCAGGCGCTAAGCAACTCTGTGAGGCCCTGTCTCTAAATAAAATATGAAATAGGGCTGGGGATGTGGCTCGGTGGTCGAGTGCCCCTGAATTCAATCCCTGGTACCCAACCCCCCCCCCCAAAAAATACTGATGGTTGGACAAAACCCCCCAAACAATCCATCTTATCAGGGCAAAGTCTCAATACTGCTTTTTGTTTGTTTGTTTGTTTGTATACTGAGGGAAGCCAAAAGTTTTGGCAGCCCAGTGCTTCCTCGTGCTTAGAATAAGTATCAAGCCCGAATATCAGAAGTTGGGTGGCAGGCAATAAGCATTAAGCTAAGGATGTTCTCCTCCCTCAGCAAGAGACCTTTCCTTCTTAACATGTCCCTATATCATCAACACCCAATCCCTCCTCTCAGGGCACCTTCATTCAGAGTGAAAATGGGAAAAGACTGTCTCATTGATCCTTCCAGAACATACCTACCTCAGGACCTTTGCATTCGCTGTTACCACCTACCTGCTACATTCTTCCCTAGAATGCCCGAGTATCTGAATACCTCAGCATCTTCAGATGTGCTTAAATGTTACTGTAGCTTTCTTTGACAGCTTAGAAGAATAGCAATTCGTCCCTTCCTACTTTCTTTCTCTATTTTCTATCCTGATTTATTTGTATTCCTTAGCGTTCATGATAACTTGGTGTATGATGTATTTTTCTAAAGCCTCTCTCTCCCCTCCAGAATAGAACACTAAAAGGGAGGGATTTTTACCTGCGTTTTTTCGTTGTTGTATCCCCAAAGCCTGGGATTGTGACTAGAACATAGCAGGCACTGAAGAAATGTCTGTTGAATGCATGATTCATGGATGAATAAGTGAAAAACCCTTACATGTCTGTGTTGGTGTGTATCTGTGTCTGGGATTATATGCTTATGTATTTCTGGGCTCAGAACAGTTCTATTTTTAAATTTTTAAATTGTGTTGGCCTCTGCCTATGTGCTTTTGAACATATGGAGGATTCTCTGGGTCTGTGCATATCGTGCTGCTGAATATGAGCTTGTGCATTTTTTCTGCTCGTGTCCTCTAGTTGTGTGTGGACGAGTGTGGACCGCTCAGCCGGGTGTCAGGATTCTTGGAGGAAAGAGCATGTGTAGCTATGTTGCACCAGCAGAGGGCACCAGAGAGCCATGCGCCCTAGCTCTGGGGCCGGATCCACAAATCTTGGCGGGGAGCGTTAGGGACCCAGGAGACCTAGAATCTGCAAGAAAAGAGGTGCCGAACTCTCTAGGCCAGCACGATTGTAAAGTTGTGCAATTCCTGGGGCTCCTCTGTTATTTCCCCTCGATTCATCCCTTAGACCGCCAGGCACCCCCAGCACCCTGTGAGCAGTATTTGGTTAAGCGTTGGCAGATGGGCTGGTTGCCACACTGAGCCCTTTGGAGGAGACCTCTCCTGAATGTCCTCATTACTCTCACCAGAAATCCCCTCCCTCCCAGTTCCTGCATCTCTCGACCCCGAAGGATCTCCATCTCCTGCGTGCTTAGAGATCTTCCCTCTGCGGCTCTGTCTTCTGGCCAGCCTTCCCGGAGAGGCGGGAGGAGACGATGTCCGGAGGCCTGGGCCCTTCGAAGCCGTCGAGTGGGCTGGCTGTCCCTCTGGATGGGTAGATGCCCAAGATGAACAAAGGAAGAGTCCACTGCGCCTCTTCGCAGCCGCTGAGGACTCCAACGCTGGGTCCGCCCCCCTCCCCTCGGTGGCTAAGAGAACCCCACCACCCCACCCCTCGCCGYGCGGGGGTTCAAGGCCCGTCCAGGAAGACTCTGGGGCTCTGTAGTGGGGAGAGGAATGTTCATCCCCCACTGTCCCATTTACTGGTCCATTGAGAATTCTTAATTTGGAGAATCAAGGGTTCGATTCTGGTGTAGGATTTTTTAAAAAAGGGGATCTTTAAGCTTTTTAACCCCCCCACCCCCCCCCACACACACTCAAACACACACGCTCCCACGCCCTCCCTCATCACCATCCTCTTCTGGGCTGGAGGGTCGTCCTCAGTCCGAGTCCCCCCACCCCATCCACCGCTCAGATCCGTCGCCCCGGAGCCCAGATGGGGTCTGTAAGTGGGAGGAGCGCGGGAGGGCAGGGGTCCGGCGCGTCCCAGGGCTCCGGAGCTGCCGCCTGCCGCGCGCTGTACCCCGGGCGCCTGGGCCCTCGATCCCTCTCTGCGCTCTCCTGCCATCTCAGTCCAGCGAGGGGAGCCAGTGTGTGTGCGCGCGCGTTGGGGGGCAGGGGGCGGGCTGGTGGAGGGAGGCGCCGTCGGGGGGGAGAGTAGACGTCAGGCGGAGGGAGGGAGGGAGGGAGGGAGACGGGGAGACGGGGAAGGAAGGGAAGGGGAGAGGAAGGGCGAGCGGCGCCGAGATCGAAAGAGACCCGGGCGCGAGCTGGGGAGCGGGGAGAATTGAGGCGGGGGGCGGGCCCAGAAGAAGGACCGGGAGGAGAGAGAAAGAGGCGCGGAGGAAGGGAAGTGAGTTTGTGCGCGTGAGTGTGCGCGTGTGTGCCGGCGGGCGGGCGGGGGGCGGGCTCCGGGCTCCCTCCTCCCAGCCCGCTCCTCCGCTCGCTCGCTCGCTCGCTCGCCAACTCGGGCCCCAGCCGCGGGCGGGCGCACGGCGGGCGGGCAGCATGCTGAGCCTCCTCGTCTGGATCCTCACTCTCTCCGACACTTTCTCCCAAGGTAAGCGCCCCCCCAGACCCCGGCCCGCCCCCGAAGCTCGCCCCCACCCGGGGACCCCGGCCGCGCGCCGCTGGGGAGCGGGGGAGCCCGGTGCCTGCGGCCGGGCGCCGGGTCCAGGCACCGCGAGTCCTGGGGGAGGGGGCGCGGAGTCGCCGCGCTGGCTGGAAGGAGTTTTCCGTTGATCTGCCCAAGTTGTTTCCTGTGGTTGCGCGGGAGAACGGAGGACTGGGCCCGCTAGGGCCGGGGTCGGAGAGAAAAGGGGACCCGGGCGCTCAAAGTCTTTCTTGGAGCCCCTGGCAGCCCCACTTGCCCCTCTGAGGCCGGGGGTCCKCACCCCTGTACCCTGGCTAAAGAAAAAGCTGCAAACGGGTGGGGTTCCAGATTTGGGGGGTGCGCAAAAGCTGGGGACCCCGTTTCCCGAAGACGACGCTAAGGGATCCCCCGCCCTTGGGGTGGGGAGACTGGAGGCTGACCCGCGCGMCGTCCAAGCTGCCTGAGGCTGCCCCCTCCCCGCCCCCAAGGGGAGTGCTTGGGGCCTCTGGTTTTGGAACCGCTGCCGCGAGAGAGAGGTTCTGGGCGGGGAGCAGAGTTCCCAATACTGCTTCAGGCCAGGTGGACGTGGAGGGGGCCCCGAAGGGGGTTTGGCACCCACTTGGGGGTCCGGAAAGTGTTCATGTCTGGGGGCTCGTTTGGAAGTGGCTGGGAAGTGAGGGAGGTAGTGGAGAGAGATGAGGATGTTGTTAGTGTATCCTGAGCAGGGCTGGTGTGAGTGTGTGTGTGTGTGTGTGTGTGTGTGTGTGTACACCGAGGGTCCAGACTCCAGCCAGGTCAGTGGGAGAGGGTTCTTACTGGGGTCAGTGGGAGAGGGTTTTTGCCTCCTGGGTCTGACTCCAAGGGGGATTTAATCCTTCTGAGCTCCACCCCCCACCCCAAATGGGGCTGACACCCCGAGATCAACACACAAACACTGTTAAACAGTCACAGACGCTGAGACAGACTACTCACCCACWGAGACACAGACATAGCCACCAACGTCCCCCACCACGAGACAGACACATACACAAAGACACAAGACACATCGGAGGAAACAGATTCCGCCCCCTCCTAACGGCTCACACTTGCACATCCGTCTACCCCAGCGTCCAAACTCACACACAGTTCATGTATGCAGGCGGGCATTACAAGGACACGGTGCCCACTTCCACACACATCAACCCCCGAGCAAACAAAGAAACTTGCACAGACAGTCACCMGGGCAGACACCTACGGAGTGCACAAAATGGAGGAGGTGGTCTCTTTTGGGGAGGGGGCAGATCTGAGAAGAGGGAAGAAGGTTTGCACAGAGGAGCCTCAGGCATAGCCCAGCTCTCTGCTCCCTTCCTGGTTTGTGGGTGTGTGTTGGGGGTGGGGTGTTTCACTGGACCCCTCCTCTCCTTGTCAGGCCCCTCCCCGGCTCCTAAGGGGAAGCTTAGCTGAGATGGTGGGGGCTGGCCTAGCGGCATCTGTCCTCCCAGGGCACCTAGCCCCCCCCCTCCATTCCCTTAAGGTGTGGGGAAGCACACACATCTGGTGGTGTGGGAGTGGGAGGTGGTGCTGGGAGGAACGGGGAGGCCTGGCCTCCGGGTTGGCAGGCTGGGCCAGCCACTTGGCAGAAAGTTGGGAGGATGACTTAAGATGACTTAAGTTCTGACTTTGTTCAGCCAAGCCTTGAGGGAGGAGGGAGAAGGGGGAGGGCTGCGCGGTGGGGGAGGGGCGGCCGGGTCAGCGCTGGCCTGTGCTGGGGGCCAAGCTGCTGTCTGTCCCTCTCCTCTCCAAGCCCTCCCGTGTCAGCAACATGGATCCGCACGGGCTGGAAGGAACAAAAGGCTCCAGTTAGCAAACAGGAGCGACTGTGTGGACTGAGTCGGGGACCGACCGGAATGGTCAGGAAGAAACGTGTGTGTGCCCAGTGCCTGCCTCTCTCCGGTTGCAAAGGGGGAAGGGGCTGGGGAACTCGGGAGCTCCTCCCACCTCCTGGCCTCCAACTGTGYGWGTGTGTGTGTGTGTGTGTGTGGAGAGAGAGAAAGCTAGACCTCATGAAAGTGTGCAGAAGTATTTGGGGTAGGGGGAGGATACCAAAGAAAGGAATGGGAGGGAATAGTCCAGAGGGAGAGGAAATCACTCTTGAGTGTTCAGGCCCGGGGGCTGGGAGGGGGACAGCAAGGGTCTGGGGAGAAGGCAGCACAGGAGGGGGGCTTGGCAGGCCCCCTGCTCTCCTTAGCCTCCATCCTTAGAAAGGAGTTCTGGACCCGGGACTCGGGCAGGGGGGAGGAGGCAGGGGTGCTGTCGTAGGGGTGGGGGGTGGCCCGAGAAGGCACAGCACTGAGGGGAGCAGAGAGGAGGAGCCGCGAAGGGGAGATTCAGCCCAGGCCCAGAAATAAAAATCGCATTTTAAAGAATTTCAATGGGCTTCATCAATCTTCATTTTTCACTAAATAATTTTCTGTATCTTATCTAAATGAAAACCATTATCCTTCCCCCCGTTTTCCATCATGCGCCGGCTCCTCAGACTGATTGCGCCGAAAATTGAAATATTTATTCATTTTCTGGGAGATTTTCTCGCTCCCTAGTCTCGGGGAGGAGAAATTGAAAAAGAAAGATTATAGCTAATCAGAGCAATGTGGGATGACAGGCCGCTGGGGCGGGAGCTGCCTCCACCAGGGGAGGGTGGCTGTGGGGGAGGGTGAAAAAAGTCTGTCCCTCCGGTCCCCAGAGCTGCCCTTGGCATTCCTGGTATGGCTTAGGAGGGGAGTAAAGGCTAAAGGGAAGAGGCCCCAGGGCCTCCTAAATTCCCAGTGTGGAACTCTCTGAGCACAGCCCGCCTGGGAGGGGAGCTGGGAACTGGCCCTCCCCTGCGTTCTGCACATGGAGAGACACACACTCCAGATGTCCCACTTCTGCCCAAAGCAGGGCACTGAGCTTGGGGAAGAGGCAGGGGGAGACGGGCAGAAGCCCCTCCTTGACCTTGATTGGACTCYACCTTCTGTCTCCTAAGTGAGACTCAGACCCAAGGGGAGGCCAAGTGTTGGTGCCACTGCCCGGGATCCAGATCAGCTGATCAGGGGAGGAGGCGGCACCCCGTCCTTTCCTTACCAGAGCTGGGTGCTCGGCCCTCCTGGCTCTACCTTTGGTTCTCCCGTGGGGCAGGGGTGAGTGAAGACCCCTGCCCTTAGCCCACCCATGCAGAGTGTCCTGTTCCCAGGAAGCTCCTCAAGCAKCCAGCCACCAACTCTTCATTTCTCTCTTATCCGGTGGCTTCTGGCCCAGTGTCGTGCAGACGGTAAATGCCCCTTAAATATCTGATCAATGGATTGATCTGATGACATTGCCGCAGTGTTGGAGGGAGGCAGGATTAAACGGTGATTGAATCACAGGCTGGCCTCCAGCCCCCACCTGGGTCGTCGTGCAAGCTTAACCAAGTCACGTGCGGTGCCTCGGTGGGTGCATCTATAAAGTGAGGGCGGTCATGACGCCTCCTAGGGCCGTGGTGGCCATGAATTATGTTGACCCATGGAAAGTGCCTGGATCGGTGTGTGGCACAGAAGTGAATGCTTCATGTGGCTTTGCGTCTTGATGCCAGTGGACAGGCAGTGGGGCCCTCTGCCCAGCCTTCTCTCCTCTTTACGATTCTCTTTTTGTTCCCTAGCCCCAACTCCCCTGAGTCTTGGCCCTGGGCTTCAGTCAACCTCTGCCTCGTATCTCATGGAAACAGTTGTGGGAGGCCCAAAGGAGAAAACTCAGCACCCCCCACCCCATGGTGAGACCTCAGAAAAGGTCTCAGGAAGGGACTTGGAGAGAGGGCCCAGCAGAAGGGGGTTGGCATTCGAGTGAGAAGGAGCCAGAGAGAGGTCTCTTGTGCAATGAAGAGGGTCACTAGGCCAAGGTGGTGCATTTCAGTCTGGAAATAAGATGAATCATTTATTGAGCCCTCATGCTAATTACTAATTACGCAATAGCTAATCTAATCTATCCAACATTCCTCCCGAGATATACTCTGTAAATAACCCCATTTCATGGATGAAAAAAGCAAGTCGTTTTTATTTTCTTATTTTTGGTACTGGGTATTGAACCCAGGGGTGCTTTACCACTGATCTTGATCCCCAACCCTTTTTATTTTTATTTGGGGACAAGGTCTTGCTAAGTTTTGGAGGCTGGCCTTGAACTTGTAATCTTCCCTTGTCAGCCTCCCAAGAGACTGGAATTTCAGGCATGCACCCTCATACTCAGCTAAATCAGACGATTCTTTGATGACTATGACAGGGCTACTAAATGACTTTTTGAAAAAAGGATTTGGGGGCTGGGGCTGGGGCTCAGTGGTAGAGCGCTGGCCTGGCATGTGTGAGGCACCGGGTTCGATTCTCAGCACCRCATATAAATAAATGAACCAGATGAAGGTCCATCAGTATCTACAAATATATATTTAAAAAGAAAGGGTTTTATTGGCAAATAAGGTTTGMAACCCCGTGGTTTTTTTTTCTGATCCTAAACGCAGCCTCACAGGCCAGGGTATTACAAATCGCAGAGTACCCCTGTACTCTCAAGGGTGACTTCTGGAGACGCTCAGAGGCCTCCGGAGGCCTGGGGTGAAGCACTGGGTGGGGAGAATCTTAGGAAAAGGCCCTCRCAAGTGTCGGTTGGCTTCCAAATGGGTCCCAGGCCTGGCACACAGGGAGGCCAGGGTCTGGGAGGCCTGGTTCCCACCTGCCCGATTAGGCCATTCGTCCAGCTTGGCTTAGGGTGGTGAARAGTTGTCATCGGAGGTCAGCTCTCGGCTGGAGGTGGCACGTGCCTGTAATGCGAGTGGCTCCGAAGGCTGAGGCAGGAGGATCCCAAGTTCGAGGCCGACCTTGGAAACTTAGTGAGACGCTATCTCCAAGTGATAAATAAAATGAGCAAGGGGCGTCCCTCCGTGGTAAAGCCACCCTGGATTCAACCCCCATCACCCAAACACAGAACGGAAC